AGATTGTATGGAAATGGACAAACAAAACCCTGCTCACTGCTTTGCTGACCTGCTTCTGAAAGTGCTAGATGCCTGTTATGCTGACCCTCTGAATTCAGTGTTTTGAGTCACTGGCTGAAGCAAGCATGCAGATCTAGAATTCCACCTTCACCTGCTGCATATTCTGAGTATTTCTGAAGCCTTTGGATCAACATGATGTCCAGGAAACTTACATTTTCTGAAGGCAATTAGCAATGGCTACTTTCATATTTTTCTTTTGAACAGTACTGCATTGTGACAACTCATGGCTCTCAGTCATTACTGTGTGGAGTTGTGTTAAGGTGAAGTTACACTAAGCCAGCCATTCTCAACCAGGGTTCCAGGGAACCCTTGGGTTGCTCAAGAATGGACCAGGGGTTCCTTGAGCTGTGGCTAAGTGGCCTCCCATGTGATGGTGCCTGCATAGTTTTAGGCCCAACATCATTTGGCAGAGCCAAAGGTATGACTGTAAGGGGGGCATTCTTACCAGTGACCATCAACGTATGGGGCATTTTCCAAATGACCCTTATTAATTGACTATATTAGGGGTTTTCTGAGACCTGAAAATTATTTTAAGGGTTCCTCTAGGGCAGCCATTCTCAACCAGGGTTCCAGGTTCCATGGAACCCTCGGATTCCTCCAGAAGTGGCTAGGGGCTTGAGCTGTAGCTAACTGACCTCCCATAGTTCTTGGCCCAACATCATATGGCAGAGCCATAGGTATGACTTTAAGGGGGGCCATTCTTCGTACTTACCACCACCAATGTCAGTGGCACTTTCCTAGTGACCACCAATTTACTAATCTTTGCAGGTGTTCCCTGAGACCTGAAAATTATTGCAAGGGTTCCTTTGAGGTAAAAAGGTTGAGAAAGGCAGCACTAAGCTCTGGTTGAAAAAATAAATTATATTCATGCATGTATTCTTTACTCAAAATGTCCCTTCTATTGCGAATGAATTGTGAATATGTATGGATCATTTGTTTGGGGAATAAGGATATCGGTAAGGGTTCATTTACACTTTTTTCACCACTTTTTTTGCTTTTTTGAAGCATCCTTTTTTGATGCTTCAATGATGCTTTGGTGATGCTGAAATTATGCTTTTATGAAGCTTTAATGAATACCCTGTGTGTGTTCATTTTCTGTTTGTTTTAAAGGGCCCAGTAGAACCCCAGCTCAATAGTACCCCCACTGAGCAGATCCCCAGCTCAGTAGTAACCCCACTGAGCAGATCCCCAGCTCAGTAGTACCCACACTGAGCAGATCCCCAGCTCAGTAGTACCCCCACTGAGCAGATCCCCAGCTCATTAATATCCCCACTGAGCAGATCCCCAGCTCAGTAGTAACCCCACTGAGCAGGTCCCCAGCTCAGTAGTACCCACACTGAGCAGATCCCCAACTCATTAGTACCCACACTGAGCAGATCCCCAGCTCATTAATATCCCCACTGAGCAGATCCCCAGCTCCTTAGTACCCCTGTTCAGCAGATTCCCAGCTCATTGGTATCCTCATTCAGCAGATCCCCTGCTCAGTAGTACTCCCAGCTCTGCTGATGCCCCACTCAGCAGTATCCCCAGATTTGCTGATCCCCTGCTCAATAGTAACCCCCCCAGCTCTGCTGTTCCCCCCACTCAGTAGTAACCCCCAGCTCTGCCGATCCTCTGGTTTGCTGATCCTCCTTTTTTTCTGGTCCCTGCTCACCTCCTGCTATATTGCTTCCACATTGAACACCACATGTGACATTGCTAGCTTCTCCGGTCCCCCAGCTCTGCTGATCCACTGCTGCTCAGTCCTCTCTCTTTGGTCCCCACTCACCTTCCGATATAGCACTCCAATGTTGTACTGGTATCGTCCTTTATCTTTGGACTGGACTCTGAGACTTGGGTGCTTTTTCTTTCTTTTTTTTCATGCCACCAGATGCAGTTTTTGTACCTTTCACAAACTCACCATGTGTTTCCTTTAATTACTGCTAGATTGCAGCCAGTACTGCATTTTATTTTTGCCTATTTTGACTGAAATATCTATTTAATATTACAATGAGAGCTCTTGACTCATGGTGATTCTTGCTTTAGCTGCCTATATTTTGTTTTTACATTTAGCTCTGGGTACTTGGTGGTTTATTTCTTTTTACTGGCACATTCCATTTTCTTTGGACTGGACTTTGAGAGTTAGGTGTCTTTCCCTTCCCTTTACCACTAGGAGCAGTTTTCTGCACCTTCACATATTCACTATATGTTTCCTCTTTTGCAGCCAGCATTGCACAATATTTTTGTTTCTTATTACCCATTTTGATTTTATTATTCATTCATCACTATAATGTATACCTAAACTTGTTTTCTAGAGCAACTATGTTGGGTGCCATCATGGATTGCCCACCCACGTTGAATCTTCTTCCTGTTTGTCCCCTTTGGGTTCTTGTTGAGTCATGCTTCTATGGAACCTGAGTGAGACTCCCCTGGTGATCACTTTTTGGAAATACTGTCATATCTATTCTTAGCTGATTTGTAAGTATTAGAGTCCCTCTGGTGACCCCTGAGGTTGGAATTACTCTTTGTATTATGATATATCATTAGGTATGCTACATACCTTACAGATATTATACATATATCTACACCTAAAGAGGTGAATATAGAGACACGAAACGCGTGGAGTTTTTGATGCAATTTTTAGTGTAATCATGTACTGACATCTGGATTGTGTATGATCAACAGTTTATTTCATTATGTATGAAACGCATTAATATGGATTCATTACAAATCTGCTTGTTATTATTTTATCCTCTTTTGTACACAATTAGAAGTTTATTTATTCATTTATCAAACAACAATGTTGGAAACTAGTTATTCATTGGTCGTGTGCCTCATTCAAAGTCCCAGGACAAATAAATTGGTTGCAGGAATGTTGTACACCATGCTCGTCGTCTGCTAGTTGCTCCTCACCAGTCCGGACCCTGCTCACCTTCCTGCACACCAGAAGTGATGTCTGCACCAGACACTTCCAGAATACAGGCATACCCTGGTTTACAAATGCCTCGGTTAACATAATTATCGGTTTATAAATGAAAATCCATTGAAAATAATGCCTCAGTTTACGAATTTTTTTCGCAATACAAATGGATTAATTGGTTCTTAATGCATTTACAATTTTTTTTTTAATCATGTCCCTGTACAGTACTATGCCTTTAACCACTTGCCGTCCGCTTGCTGTTTATAAACGGCAGGACGGTGGCACTCCAGGGGTGGGTTGCCATTCATAAACGGCACCTGCATTTTCTAGCTGTGCGCGCTCCCTGGGAGTGATCCGGTGCCCCCTGTGTCCTCGGGACACAGTGGAACACTGATCGTCGGATGGGATCTCTGTGCGAGATCCCGATCATGTGATCACTGATTGACCAATCAGTGATTACATGCAGAGTAGTAAGCAAGATGTCACTTGTGACATCATTGCTTACTACGTGTGAAATCTTAGAATGATCACAGAGGTCACATGGTATAAGGCTATTCACAACAGCCTTGTACCATGTGACAAGCTGTGACCAATCATAGCTAACACAGTAGTTCTCAATGGCTGCAAGAATGCAGCTAGAGAGAAGGAGAAATGATTGCTTTTACAGCCTTTACGGGTGTAAAAGCAATCAGTGTAAAAAAAAAAAATCTTCATCACCCCCCACAAGTAGTACAGTGCTAGGGTGACAGTATGTAAAAAAAAAAAATAATAATAATATATAAAAAAATTAAAAATGAAATGTTTAAAAATTATAATGTTTGGTTATATACTAATTTGGGTTATTTTTTTTTTCTACTAAAAAGATAACAGAACACATTTTGGCTAAGATTTATGATGAAATACTATTTATTTGCAAAATATTATAAGAAAAACACTTTTTTTTTTGTGGACTTTTTCATTTACATAGCAAAAAAAAATAAAAATCCCAGTGGTGAATAAATACCACCAAAATAAAGCTTTATCTGTCTCAAAACAATGCTAAAAAAATTCATATGGGTACAGGGTTGCATGACCGCACAATTGTCATTCAAAGTGTGATAGTGCTGAAAGCTGAAAATTGGGCTGGACAGGAAGGGGGTAAAAGTGTTCGGACTTGAAATGGTTAAAGTGCACTTTATAAAGAGTTTTGAACAGATAAGACTTTTTTTTACTTTTTTCTGACCTCCGGAACGGATTAATTGGTTTTCAGTTAATTTACAAATTTTTTTTTTTAATCATGTCCCTTTATGCCTTTAAAGCGCACTTTATAAAGAGTTTTGAACAGATGAAACTTTTTTTGACTTTTTTCTGACCTCCGGAACGGATTAATTGGTTTTCAATGCATTTACAAATTAATTTTTAATCATGTCCCTGTACAGTATTTATGCCTTTAAAGTGCACTTTATAAAGAGTTTTAAACAGGTAAAAGACTTTTTTTTTTACTTTTTTCTGACCTCCGGAACGGATTAATTGGTTTTTAATGCATTCCTATGGGAAACTGCGTTTCAGTTTAGGAATTTTTCACAATACGAAAAGTCCCACAGAACGAATTCAATTCGTAAACCGAGGTACGCCTTGTATATACACATGAACAGGACGTGAATACTGATCATGTTTTTCCGGTTCGTTTGTTGGTTTCCCTGTGTACCATGCACTGCATACCTGCAATACCTCCAAAACAAAGTGAAGCCAAAGCTGAATAAAAGCCTCTCCAAAGTTGCATGTGCTGTTTGTGAACATTGTCATAGACATCTATGGAGGCTTTGGAGACGCTTTGAAGCACCAAGAAAGCAACATGGGGTATCATTTTTGGAGCAAAGTGAAGCAAAACAAACAGGACTGTATTTTATTTTGTGACATTTTCTTTGATTGGCATTCAGAGCACTTTAAAAAAGCATGTCCAATGCCACATTTTGAAGAAAGTGTAAACAAGAGTCACTTTAAATTACACTAACACTAAAGCAGTGTGTATGTTGTCATTGCAAATCTCTCCCTCTATGCTTCCTTGCTGTGATTTAGATCCAATCAGGGCGGACTGACCATTTGGAAACTCGGGCACTGCCCGAGGGCCCAGGGTCAGTAGGGGACCCCATGAGATGCCCCTGGTACCTTTTTCATAGGCTTTTTTGAGTTTGGCCAAGGACACAGGGGCCCCATGATCCCCTATTGCCCGGGGGCCCCATGAGTTGTCAGTCCGCCCCAGATCCAATGACTTCTGAAGTTTCGCTCTAGGTGTGATGGGACATATTGGGCAATTATGTGAGCACAGTCCCACTCAGGGGCGGACTGACAACTCATGGAGCCCCCGGGCTATAGGGGACTATGGGGCCCCTGTGTCCTTGCCCACACTCAAAAAAGCCTATAAAAAAGATACCAGGGGCATTTCATGGGGCCCCCTACTGACCCCGTGCCCTCGGGCAGTGTCCGAGTGCTCGAATGGTCAGTCCACCCCTGGTCCCACCAAAAGACAAGGTAAAATGACTTTTCTCCGGTGTGGCCAGTTCACACCAATGAGTTGCAGTGGTGTTCACTGAAAAAGAGTACTGCATGCAGTGCTTTCTTCCATCATAACGCAGTCACTGCAAGACTGGCTGATAGAACTTTATGAAATGTCACCCTGTGACATTTCAATAAAGTTTGTTTAATCACTTGCCCTCCAGTGGATTTACCCCCCTTCCTGACCAGGCCATTTTGTACGATACGGCGCTGCGTTACTTTAATTGACAACTGCGCGGTCATACAACACTGAACATAAATGAAATTTATGTCCTTTTTTCCCACAAATAGACCTTTCTTTTGGTGGTATTTGATCACCTCTGTGTTTTTTATTTTTGTGCTGTAGACAAAAAAGACCAACAATTTTGAAAAAAAAAAAAAAAAAAAATATATATATATATATATATATATATATATATATATATATATTTGACTTTGTCTGATTAAACATTTCCAATTAAAAAAAATGTAAAAATCTAATTTCGTTATAAATTTAGGCCAAAATGAATTCTGCTACAAGTCTTTGCTAAAAGAAAATCCCAATACGTGTAAATTAATTGGTTTCCGTGAAACTTATAGCATCTACAAATGGCGGTATATATGCAGGAATTTTTAGTTATTTGTTTTTATACTAGTAATGGTGGCGATCAGCGACTTATTGCGGGACTGCGGCGGGCATTCTGACACTGGGTGGGAACTGACTAACTGGCGGGACATCCCCAGTGACACCAATACAGTGATCTGTGCTAATAAAAAGCACTGACACTGTACTAATGACACTAGACAGGAAGGGATTAACTTTTGTGTGCTGTTTTACCTTGGAGACATGCTGTTTTGTATTTCTCTACTGTGCAGAGAAATACAAAACAGCATGTCCTTGCTGGCAGGAGAGAGGCCTGTGTTGTTTACAGCTTTGCACGGCAATCACCTGGTGCGCCGGCAGAGAATCTCCTTCCGGGACCCAGTGATTGACATGCCTAGCCACCAATGGCGGCACAGGTAGGGCGACACACACTCCCTACCCGGAAATGCAAATCATGTATATACACACACGTGATTTTGCGCAGCCCTGCGCCCTGTAGCAGTTGTTCTACTATAGGGTGGCGGGGGGAAACGGGTAAAAAAAAAGGGAACAGTGCAATGCATCAGGGTTGGTGCATCTACACTGACTGCACTGCAATGCACACAGCTGATGTGTTGTAACGCAGCAGCTGGTGTGAATGGACCCTTGGAGGAAAGTAAACTGCAATGCCATTTGGATTATATTGATTCGCTGGAGGACAGCCAAAATATATGGACAGTTCATGCAAAAAAGGCCCTCAATTTTTGTACATTCTTGAGACATTTGATGGGTTCTCCCACGATGGCTTACTCTTGACATCTCTTGCACCAGCCCTTGATCACAAGAGGCTTTATGTATTTATGCCTTATGTAAAAGCTTCAAGGAACTCAAAACAGTTATTTAAATATATTCCTCACTATCCACAAAGGAATCCATATTGGGTGCACACTAATTCTTTGCAAACCCAGATATTACCTTGTAAAAGTAGTGGTGACATCATCACTGGGCTGTACACAGACAATGTACAGAGCAGAGCCTTGGGAAGGACTCAGCAAGTCCATCCACTACAGGCTGTGCATTGCCCTTCTATATGCACCTTATGAGCCAGTTATAGATTGGGGTGGTTGCCACTTTTTTTGTACAGTTGGACGATTTAGTTGCAGGGACACACATGATGCCTTCATTGTCATTGTGCTCTTGCTGGGCGTCAAATGCGTCCCCGTGCCTTTAAGGAGGAGTGGGCAACCTCCAGGCACACCTGCCCCTAATCTATCCATTCTTATATGTGCTCCTACTGTGGAGTTAGGACCACAGTATATACAGAGGTCCCTTGGCACAGACACTGTGGCTTACACATATATTTGCAAATATGTGCAAACGAAACTGTTTGACAGGGCCAGTTCTGTTGTCTTGCAGGCTGGTCGGTAAGTGTGCAGGGAAATCTTTTGTTTGTTTTTTTATACCACCCACTACAGGTTGCCTGCAGAAAACTACAAGAGAGGGCGGCAGGCATTTTAGACTGAGCAGCCCATTATTTTTAGAATTATGTAAATATATGATAATAAATGAAAGAATTAGTGCAATATATAAAGTGCTAAATTCTTACCGCTCACTGACTGGTTGCTAGAGGTTACTGCACATCATTACCATTCACTAACTGGCTGCTAGAGGTTATTGCACATCATTACCATTCACTGATTGCTAGAGGTTATCTGCTGACTAGAGGTTACTCATCATTACCGCACACTGATTGCTAGAGGTTACTGTACATCATTACCTCTCACTGATTGATTGCTAGAGGTAACTGCACATCATTACCACTCACTTACTGGCTGCTAGAGGTTACTGCACATCATTAACGCTCACTAATTGATTGCTGGAGGTTACTGCACATCATTACAGCTCACTGGTTGGTTGCTAGAGGTTACTGCACATCAGTACCGCTCACTGATTGATTGATAGAGATTACTGCACATCATTACTGCTCACTGATTGGTTACTTGAGGTCACTGCATATTGTTACTGCTCACTGACTGGCTGCTAGAGATTACTGCACATTAATGGTGGTGGGGGGGGGGGATTGAATGAGTGGCAATGCAGGTGGTGGGATGGGATCAGTGACAGTGCTGGGGAGGATGGAATGAGTGGCAGTGCTTGGGTGGTGCGATCACTGGCAGTGCTTGGAGGAATGGAATGAGTGACAGTGCTGGAAGGGGGGGCGGGGAGAGGGTGAGATCAATGGCAGTGCTGGTGTGAGTATCAGTGGCAGTGCTGGGGGGAATTGAATGAGTGATTGTGCTGGTGGTAGGGAGGATGGGATCAGTGGCAGTGGGTGGAATCAATGGCAGTGTTGGGGGGATGGAATGAGTAGTACTGGTGGGGGGGAATCAGTGGCAGTGCTGGGGGAAGAATGGGATCAATGGTAGTGCTGGTGGGGGGGACCAGTGGCAGTGCTGGGGGGAATGTAATGAGTGGTAGTGCTGGTGGGGGGTGGATGGATCAGTGGCAGTGCTTGGGGGTGGGGGGGAAGGTGGGATCAGTGGCAGTGCTGGGGGGTGGGGGGGAAGGTGGGATCAGTGGCAGTGCTGGGGGGGGGGGGGGAAGGTGGGATCAGTGGCAGTGCTGGGGAGGAGGGTGGGATCAGTGGCAGTGGGGGGGGGGGGGGGAGTGGGGTCAATGGCAGTGATGGTGAAGGGATGGGATGTGTGGCAGACTAGTGCTGGTGGGGAGGATGGGAGTGCATTTGCTATATGCACACCTTTTCTCCATAGACCCTTACAAGTAGGTGGGTTATTCATTAGGCTCTATGAAGAAAAAGTCAGGTATGCACTTTACATTGCTTGCTGGCTCAGCTGAAGACAGGAGTTCTGCTCCGGGAAATTAGACCAAGGCTCTTGATGATCGGCTGATATGAGGACTGCACTGGAGACTATTAATGGCAAGCTGGCAACTAATATATATCAGGAATCTCACTCTCTCTCTGGCTCCATGGTTTCTGCAGCAGTAGTGACACCTAACCCACCTCCTCCACACCCAGCTCCTCCCTGTTCACAGTTCACAGCTAACCTCTAGTTTTCACCCCGGCTTGACGGCCATTCTGAGATGAGCGGCCAGCAGCGGAGAGGCTGGATGAGCGGTGCGGGCTCAAGCAGCAGCTCAGCTGCTTTACGCCCCACAAGGACTTGAGGCCTGGCGGCCCTGGCCCAGCGGGCAAATGCCCGGTGTGCCCTATGGCCAGTCTGGGGGGTGGAGACCAGACCAAACACCCTGAACAAGCAGAGCTTCAGTGACTGGTCTTTGTTACAGGAAATTTCTGAAAATAGAGAGGCTATTTCATACTAGATTACTGCACACATCTGGAAGAAATACAAAAATTGTGCTAAAAGTAAAGATAATCATTATTTTGACAATAGCTATTTTGCCCTAATTTCAACTTTAAAGCTGAACTCTAGGCACAAAAATGTTTGTTTAGATATATTCCTCAGTAGCCACAAAGTATATAAATCCACTTGCACCAAATACTTTTGTAAACTCAGAAAAAACCTTGTTATAGTCGATGTGACATCATCACTGTTCTGCACATAGCCTGTGCAGAGAGCAGAGCTGTGGGAGGGACTTAGCAGGTCCACCTGCTGCAGGCTGCCTGCAGGAAACTACTGGAGGGGTGGAGACAAGACCAGTCACCCTGAACAAGGAAAGAAAGTAGCAGTGACTGGTCTATATTGCAGGAATCTCTTATAGTAAAATGTTTAAACTCAGCGCTTTCAAATAGCTGGGGGATGGAAAGGTTTGCAGGGGGGAAAAGTTCCTTTTTTGGGAGTGAAAGTCTGTTTTAAGGGTTTCAGACAGTCACTAAAAGATATATCTATAAAAAAACTTGCCATGCAGATGTTTTAAAAGAGACGTATGGGTTTCTGAAATAAAAAACTTATACTCACCTAGGTGGTCCAGGCATCTAGGTGGATCCTAACTTTAAAGTGGATGCCTGGACCAACCCTCACACTATATTGCCAAAAGTATTGGGCCAGTCCTCCAAATCATTGGATTCAGGTGTTCCAATCACCTCTATGGTCACAGGTGTATAAAATCAAGCATCTAGGCATGCAGACTGCTTCTACAAACATTTGTGAAAGAATGGGTCGCTCTCAGGAACTCAGTGAATTAAAGTGTGGTA